AGAGATGGGAATCAAATCGTTTGCTTTTCGAAGCATTGTTCCAATACTTGTGGTGTCGCACAGGTGATTGGTGAGGAGAAGAAAATTTATCAGAAAATTGACCAGTTGTTGCCGTGACAATCAAACTTCAGTTCATTGGATGCTATTCCTCAAGCAGATTCGCAGTTTATTTCTTGCGGTTGGCAAATTTCAGGGTTCCATTTGTATTCAACCATCTTCTACCTTTGAATGATCAAAGGCTGGGCGCTCTTCAACCATTCAGGTTCAAGCTGCTTGAATAGGGGCAGTTGTTACACCCTAAAATTTGACCAACCGGGTCCCGTATCTGGTCCTATGTTTCGACGCATGATCGCATTCGCATCTGCACATCGCATACAGTGCATCTTTCATTTGTTTTGATTTTATCGGGATCACAACCCTCGTCTCGCGTCTCAGGTGTTTTAATCAATCCAGATAGGTAGAATCGTATTTTTGAGCAGTCGTGCTATTCCCAGTGTTTTCAGCTCGCGCTGTGGTTTTTAGGGATATTTCGGTGTCCGTTTATTTTTACCGGCTATTTTGGTGCGCTCTCGCAGTGTTATTTGCTGTTTGGTGCTATTTTTGTTCCTTCGGGAATTATTGAGAATTTTCTGGATTTTATTAGGGTTTTATTAGATTTTTTTTATCATTTTTTAGGATAATATAGAATATTAATAGTTTTTTAAAATAGTTTTAATAGTTTTAATCCATTTTTAGAATTTGTTAGATATTAAATAGTTTTAAATCATTTTTTTAATCATTTTAGGATATTAGCAATAGATAATAAATAGTTGTAACATTTTAATAGTATAGATTGTTTTTAGAATATTTCTTTTAATATAGAATATAGTTGTTCTTTTATTATTAAATAGATTTTCTTAATAGAAAATTAATAGGTTTTATGAATATTAGGTTTTAATCTAGAATTTAATAGATTTTATTTTTCATAGGATTTTCTAGATTTAAATAGTGTTAGATTCAGCTTTATTAGATAATTAGATGTTATATTAGGTTAATTGAATAGTTTAGAATTTAATTAGCTTTAGGTTAATCAGAATTTTAATTCTTTAGTTTGCAGTTAATCAGCCCATTAGTCCAGATTTATTTCTTTTTTTTTTCATTAATCCATTTTCAGTTTTTTTGGATTTTTATCAGCATTTTCGTTTGGGCCTATATCCAAATTCGTTCACGCAAAGCCCAATTCAGCCAGAAGAGTCCAGAAAATCATTGCAGGTGTATAAATAAGCTGAATACACATGTTAACAAAAAAGGGGGTCCACATATCACACTTCACGCTTGACACCTCACACTCCACTTCTCCCTCTCTCTGCCACGCCCAGCACATATGGCGTCCATGCAACGACTCACCCCACCCACCAGTGCCACCTGTCCTCTCCACAAACCTCACCGGACTCCACTAGTTGCATGGCCGGCGGCCATGCAACCACCATCCCTAACCTATTCCGGCCACCCTAACCTACTCCGGCCGCCGCAACAACCCGCCGGAAACCTCAAAAACCCAGATCTTCATCTTTCTTCTCTAAACCTCCTTCTCCTCCGATCCATCTTCATCATCAACTCTCGTTTGTCCAGATTTTTTTACCTGAAGTTCATCAGGTTCTTCATCCAATAACCTTCGATTAACTCCAGGAATTCAACCGAACATCATCACACCAACATCGTCTTCAAATCTCCAATCTTCATCAACACCATCCGAAATCTTCATTCAACGTTCAAGAACTTCAACGAATCTTCAGCGAACTTCTTTCAAGAACTTCTTCAAACATGATCGTCTCAACGCCAGTTTCAGACCTCACGAATTGTTTGTCAGAATTTCATCAAGATCCTCAGCGTCAAGATCGTCGTCCAGGTTGTTGAAGTCATCGTCTCAGAAATCATCACCTTCATACGCTTTTCTCCAGAAACCTTCAGATCATCAACATCATTCAAGAACGTCTTCAAACATGAGCGTTCATTCACCTTCTCCAGTTTTGCAAGTCTCATACTTGGATCTTCGTCAAGAGCCTTGTTCTTCAGAGATCTTCAACCTTTCTAAAGAGGAGTTCCTCCGAGATCATCAAGCAAGATTTCTGTGTGCTTTGAATCTTAATTCGTTGATGTAGATGTTCGTTTGAGTGGGGGAAGAAAAAGTGTTTGTTTGAACGGAGGGAGTTCGGAGAGGAAGACGGCGGCGGCGGTGAGTGTGAGGGAGAAGGACTAGGGTTTCAGAAAGGGAAACGAGTGTGAGGGAGGAGACTAGGGAGATGGACTCGTGGACTGTGGGCCTGGTTAGGCCCGTGAATTTTTACTACTTGCACCTGTGTTTTCTTCGTCCACCCCCCCTGTTGTGTGTCTGTGGATTTTGGGCCTGAGCCCACGTGCTTTCTGCTTGCATACCCCCACGTTTTACTTTCTTCCCCCCTCCCCGTGTGTGTGTTTTGTGTGATTGGGCTGGGCTCTGGTTTCTTCTGCTAGCATACCCCCTGGTCCACTTCCAGCACCCCCTCCCCTTTGTATTTTTCTTTTTTCTTTTAGATGCATTTGTTTAAAAAAGAAAATAGAAAAGGAAAAAGAAAAAGAAATATTGAAAAAGAAAAAGAAATATTGAAAAAAATATTGAAAAAGAAAAGAAATATGGAGAAAAATATATGAAAAAATGTATAGAAAAAATATGAAAAAATATATGAAAAATATTTTGAAAGAAAAAAAGAAGAAAATAGTTGAAAAGAAGAGAAGGAAAAAGTGGAAAAAATATTAGTGTAGATTTAATATTTTTTAGAGTATATTTTCTTCATAGAAATTCTTTTACCCTTTTTTAGAGGTAGTTTAGAATGTCCACTTGTTAGGGGACTTTTCCATTTGGTTTTTTTCATGATAGAATAGGATAGTATTTCCTAGGGGTTTATTTTCAGTATTCGAGCATTGTAACCATTTTTCAGAATGTTAATAAAACGAGATTTGAGCTGTGGTCCCGAAGTAGCCGAACTACAGCTGCTCTGATTTCTCGTACCAGACGAGAATATGTAGGCATAGGATGCGATGTCCTAGCGAGCACACTAACAACTAACCTTTTGTTCTCTCGCTGCTGTGCGATCGAGACTTTCCCGCTGACGACTAATTGTCACCCCTTCTCTCTTGCCCAAGTGCATTTGAGACCAGACCATAGCTTTTCCCATAGGTTCCCGTACCTGTGAAACCAGTTTGATATCTCACTGCTGTGTGAGAATACCCTGTTTAGCCGTAGTTAGCCTGAACTACGTAAAGCTCTGATCTTCCATGCAGTGTGGAAGTACGTAGGCACAAGACGCGAAGTCTTGGCGAGCCAATTCCCTGTAGTTTCCCGAACTACGTTGATTCTGACTTTCTCTCTTGAGAATACGTAGGCGTAGAGTGCGACGCTCTATCGAGTCAATTCCCTTCCGTTTAGATTTAGCAGCCATAGATAGATTGTTTTGCATCCTTTAGACAACCCAAGCAAGCGTGGATCCCGTCGAGTACGACGGACGTGAGGGGTGCTAATACCTTCCCCTTGCGTAACCGACTCCCGAACCCAGGTTTTGGTGGCGATGACCATACCTTCCCCGTTTTTTGCGAGGTTTACTTCGAGCGTTTCCTTTCCCTCCATTGGGATAAATAACGCACGGTGGCGACTCTTCTGTCAGTCGGCGCCGATTTTCGCAGTAGCGACACATATCAGTGTCTATTACAAACTGAACTTGAGTTCAGTACTTATATCACCAGAACCTCTAAAGTGAAACTAAATGCAAGTTAAATGAATGTGAATTTAGACTACACTTCAACAATTTCCAGGGACACGTCATCCTGGTAAAAACTAACTACCCCATCTGCCAAGTGTTTAAGAAACCCAACCCGACAGGAAGAATGGCATCCTGGTCATTAGAGCTCTCAGAATACGACACACATTACATTATGAGGAGAAGCATCAAGCCACAAGTCCTGACCGATTTCATAGTCGAGCACAGTTCACCTGATATAATAAGTTCGAACCTGCACCTTACAATCAAATATTTTAACAAAATTATTTTTTTATTTAAATAGAATTATTTAAACATTATAATTACAATTTTCATTACACCAATCACTTCTTTAGACCACCTTTTATTTTCTATTTTAATATATATTTAGTTTTGCCATTAAAAAAATATGTATAAGCATTCAAACATCTAACCATTAGAAGAATTAATCAATAATGACTAAAAAGTAAATAACAAAAGTTGAGTGTTGCATTTCTGCATGAAGAAGAATCTAAAATGTAGACTCAGGCCGATCCAACACGCTTAGAGGTTTAAAGAAATTTTTAAAATAAATAAATTAAATTAAATTTTGTATTTGACAAGAGTTGAACCAAAAACTTAAAAGATACGAAATATCTTTTCTACCAACTCAATAATATATTTTATGTAAAAAATATGACATTTAAAATATTTATAACCAAATTAAAAAAATTTTGAAGTCTTTTTATAGCCTAAATTTTTTAGGCTTAAAACCTTTACTTGGATCGCCTTACCCTTAGGTCGGCCTAAATGTAGTCCACGCGTGAAGAAGAGGACAACAAAGTTTTATTTCGATCATGATGAAGAGAAAGCTTGTAGTGATTGTGAAGAAAAAGAGATTGTGCGTTATGATTGTGTGCATGCATAGTTGAAGGGAAAATGAGAAAGCTTGTGAGATTAGAGGGAAAGAAAAGAGATTATTTTTTTGAAAAAATATGATTGCAACAATTTATTTATGGAATAATAAATCAAACAATGATAATTTCCACTCATTTCTGAGCTTTACAAAACTCACCACAAAGGTAAAGTTCTCTACGAACTTGCCTCGGAATTATCATAACTTTGCATAATCAAACAAATAGAATAACAAGTATTATTGTAAAGTGACAATAATACTAACACTCAAATGATGGTATTCTAAACTCCAAGAACTCGATCAATCTTGTCAAATTGGCTGAAATCACCCTTCTATCTAAATAGTTGAGTATGATGGTGTTTGCAGTAAAAAAGATTCTCATGAGCCACATAATTTGATGGACTAATCAAACAACCTCCATGTGTGCACCTGAAGCAACCCTTATGGTATGATTTCCCATCAGCAGTCACCTAAAAATGAACAATCCAAATGAATATAGTTAATGTTACTATAAGATCTACACGACATCAGCGCTATGTCTAGTGTCTGTATATGAGTCGGTATACTATTGATAAAAAAAATATATGTCTGATATTTGACATGTGTCAACATGACATCAACTCTATATATGAAATTTGTGTATGAGTCGTGAGTTAAGTTGTATACCTTTTCAATTGGGTACACTGTTTTGCAGCAACCAACACATTTTTCTTGAGTTCCAGCAAAATATTTTGAAACCTTATTATTGGTTTGAACCTGATCACCAAATCTTTCAACTCTATAAACTCTTGCAATACCTATAAGCAATGTAAGAATTAAAAATAAATAAATAAATAAATAAGTGTTTATATTTATGTTTGAGAAACAAATATATAGGAATTATTCACCTTCAAAGCTTTTGTCCAAATAACCAGTCATCTTAAAGAGTTGATCAAAATGAGGCTTACAATAAACATCACCCTCAAAGGAACAATAATTACTCAGCTACACCAAACATAACAATGAAGATTAAGATTTCTAAATATCATACACGAAAGATAAGGAAGACTACTATGCAACACCAACATTTAAAAAAACGTGTGTCTGTGTCTGTTCGTGTCAATGTCACTGACACTAAAAGTTGTGATTATTAAAGAGAACACAAAATATAAAAAGACGATGTTGTACCTTGAGGTTACCCTTGCAATGGTGGCATCTGAAGCAAGATTTATGGTACACTCTATGGTCAGCACTAAGTTGTTCCATCCAGTACACTTTCTTTTCACAAACTGCACATTTCTGTGTAGTGCCTGCAAATGATGACATCTTAACTCAAGAGTTCAAATGAAGAGAGAGGTAGTTAATTTTTGCTTATGATTTATTTTGTATTTTGAATGATTATTACATTTGGTTCTATTTATAAGAAAAAAAGTCACCATGACTAAAATCATTAAATACTAAAGTTTAAATATTTTATTCTAAACATGATCCTACCTTGAATGAGCTTAGAAAATTTGGACTGCTTATATAAATAAATATTTTTAATTGAAAATAGAATAAAGGTGTATAAATTAAATGATCAATTAATATCGTGTGACATATTTTTTTTTTTTATAATTGAAATTAAAACTAGATACTTTTTATATATGCATATGAGGCTGTTAAACCATGAGTAACTTTTCTTTTTGATTAAGTAACTCCTAATTGAAACATTAATATGTATTTGGTCCTAAATAACTAAATTTTCCACTCATTAAATAAAGTAGTTGGTCTTCTTTAATATATTAAAAATAGAATAATTGTAATTTTAAAATACCTCTTATTAAATTAGTTAAATGAGAATAAAAAGGTTATAAAAAAAGTAAATATAAATTAACTGAAATGGTATTAAAATAATGATAATTAAATATATTAGTGGTGATTAACTTATGTTTATATTTTAGAAAAATAAAAAAATATTATCCATAAAAAATTTTATGATGGACTAAGGACTTTATCTCTTTAGGTATTTTTTTTCTTAAAATGTTTAGTAAAAGTCTATGATTTGGATTTAAAGAATGGATTTAAATGATTTGGATTTAAAGAATGGATTTAAATGATTTGGATTCAAAGAATGGTCAAAAACGTTGGATTGCACAATTAACTAATTTAAAGGCCAAAAGTGTTTTTTTTAACCAATAAAAAAAAAGATAAAAACGAATCTATAACAACAACAACAACAAAAAAAGCAGTCAATAACTTGGCATTTGCTTTAAAATTTCTTTATAATGCTGATTTCTACTATATTTTTCTTTAAACTTTTTAGTATTAAACTCCATATCCTTTTTTTTTATACTGAATTGAATCCATAAGCTTCTTTTGTTTACCAAATAAAACTCCATAAGTTAAAAGGTAATAAGGAATAAATATTGGTGTCAAAAACAGATCCAAAAAGAAAATATTGGTGCCAAAATCTTAATGAATCTCTTAAGTAATACAAAAAGAATGAGTTCCATGAATAAGTTTTGAACAAATTATTATTATTATTATTATTATTATTATTATTATTATTATTATTATTATTATTATTATTATTATTATTATTATTATTATTAAATGAGGACTAATAAACCCAGGACAACATCATTTGAATGCAAGGTAAAATGGAAATTGAGAAAAATGAATCATAAACAAAGAGTACTTAACTTGACACCTTTCATTTAGAGCTGACATTCCCTCCCCTCAATTGCGTATAAAAAGACGAAACTGTTCTCGTAAAATTATTTTCGAAAATTTTAAAATTTACAATGCAGTTGTGAAAATTTGAAATTGTTGGGGCGAAACTGGAAATTTGGAGCAAGTATCGAAAATTAAAAAAAAAATTCAGTATTTTGTATCGAAAATTTTAAATTTTTCGTTGTTTTCATTAAATATTTATCGGAAACTTAAAAATTTTCAGTATAAAATTCTATTGAATATACCGAAAATTTCATAATTTCTGGTAGTTATAAAAATTTAGTTTTGTACCGAAAGTTCTTGAAATTTTTGATATATTCCATGGGATTTTATACTAGAAAATTTGAAATTTCTTATATGTGCAAAAACTTTGTTTTATACCGGAAATTCTGAAATTTCCGGTAATTGCTAATATTTTTTTAATTTTCCTTCTTTTCCAATGAAATACAAAGGCAGAGATGACACTATTGTAGAGAGAATTGTTGGTCGAGCAGTTGACCAAGATAGAGGTGTTAAGGTTGAGTCTTCCTAAATACGGGCTAGACAAGTGACCCCAACTGATTCACACCGGAAGCGGTTGGCTGAGCAGAGTCAGTCCCGGGCACCTCGTTGCACTTGACGCCGACCAGTATGATCAGTAGAGCAGTCTAGAGATGAGGTGGGGCCAGATATTGTTGTTGATGGTCCTGTGGTTAAGGAGGTTGTAGATTCAGTTGTTGATCCGGTGGTTGAGGATATTGTTGAGGAGGCTGGTTTGGAAGAGGTTTCTCAGGTGGTCCAGCCAAGTATTGTTATTGCTGATTTGGTTCCATCTGTTACTACTAACACGGAGGTTACATCTCCTTATACCGAACCCTCTATGCACACGAATAGAGAATTCCCTAGAGGACCCATTGACCGGTCAGTGCTTACTGAGAATGCTGACCATGTGGCGTTACGCAGGGAAAGGTATATATCTTTTATGTTTAACTCTAATTTGTTTATTATTGTGCAATGAAAGCTAAATGCTAATTTGTTTATATTTGTTTGTCATAGGAGCGTCCCACATTGAAGGTGACATCACGCGGGTCGAAGATGAAGAACTTTTCGAAGACTCTGATGCCTGAGCAGGTCATTCAGATTATACAGAAGCTCCAGCTGCTTGATTTTGCCCACTGCTCCCTCACCATGCTTGCCGCTCGATACTTAGTATTTTTGTTAAGAGATGGCATAAGGAGACATCTTCATTCATCTTCCATTTAGAAAGATGAGTATCACTCTAGATGATGTCTCCTCATTGTTCCATCTCCCAATCGGCGGAAGATTCTGGGCGGCTTCCGTACTTAGCATGTTCCTTGCATGTCAGACTGATGTGCGAGATTTTAGAGTGTTTGAGGTAGTTGTGCAGCAGTATTTTAGCGTCAACGGAGGCACACACCTTCGTATGTCTTGGCTTCAGAAGACATACGATCAACTTGTAGCTGATGGGAGTTATGAAGTTGTTGCTACGACATACATGCTACATATAATAGCATGTAATCTCTTTGCGGACAAGTCTGGTGTTTATATCAATATCTAGTATGTGTGCCTCTTCAGTAGCCTCTAGGATACCATTTGAGCTTAGGGATGTGCTACATTGACCCTTCTGTATACAACCCTTGGAGTGGCGACGGTCTTTGAAACCAAACAGCTTGCTGGTTATTTGAGTTTGTTACAAGTATACTTGAAATTATTATTTGTTATTGGTTTCTTATTTAATTGTTATGAATAACATTTATTATTTATTATTTTTTGTGTCTCTGTTTTGATATCAGTGCTGGATGTACGAGCATTTCCCCACCATCTGTGACAGGAGGGTGCAGCATTGCACAATAGGGTCGCCGCGGGAAAAGAGATGGAAGGCCAAGCAGGCGCATTCCGGTGGTGTTGTTGAGTACATGAGGAGGATTGATGCGCTGATTGTAGATGATATCATCTGGACACCATACACTAGTCATAGAGTCCATCGTGAGTTTGAGGAGTCGTCATCATATTTAGTTTATATGCGGTGGGAGACTATAGTTTCTAGGCACTTTCTTGAGAGGTGTCTCCGAAAGTATGGTTATATTCAGACATCTCCATCAACTCTCTATTTTCTATTTTTTATCTTCCATTGATGCAACATCAACATTAACTAACATTTGACAATGAATTACGTAAATTAAACATAACTTAAGAAAAACCTAAACACTACCAGATGATTAATAAATAAGAAAAACCTAAACACTACCAGAGGATTATGGACGTTTCACCATCTCCATTATGTCGTCAATAAATCTTGAAAGCCTCGCATCTAACTCGACCGAACCCTTTGTTATACTATGGCTAAATGATCTCCACATATCCTTCACATCTTCGTCGGTATGTAACTCAACAAGGTTGTATTTCACCCTCCCGTCAGTACCAATCCAATCTTCATGAAACTCGATATTTCTCACCTTTCTATTTTTGACATTATACAACAATTCATTCAACTTGGACGTCAGGCCGGAAAGAGATGTGATGTCATCCGAAAGCCGCAACTCTACAGGAGGTGAAGCTCCGTTGAAGTACGCTTTTGCCTTAATCAAAAATTTAGGAAGATGGATTTTTTGAAATATTTTTATCAAACAACATGTGACCCCTATTTATACAACTTTGCATTTACTCTGGACTACATAAAAGTGTCGGTGCAATCACAGCATCCAAAAATATCGGAAAAATTTTGAACGTCCAAAAAATCAAACAAATAACACTATTGGAAACTTCACTAATGTTGAAATTTTCAGTATCAACATGTAAATTTTAAATTTCTGGAACTTACTGAAAATTTAGAATATACTACCAGAAATTTTGATATGTACCGAAAAATCATTAAGCCTGCTAGAAATTTTGAACGAAAATTTGGATTAATTTTCAACCAGAGGTAGTTTTGAAAGATTCCAGGAATAATTTGGGGGGTGACAAGTTAAAATCTCATAAACAAGACAATACACAGAATTTTTATTTGTTTGCTAGTAGAAGTGTGTCTCGTGGGCTTTTAACGTTCGTTAAGTTTGAGAATTTATACTACTACCCCTTGACTTTTTTTCTAGCAACTCTTTTACTATTGTTTTTATATAATACTCTCCCACTTCAGAAATGAAACTTTTACTATTTATTTTTCATTTTTCAAAGATCTTACAAAAGTTGTGTCATCTACCACGTTTTTTAAATCATCTATAAGATATTTACAAGTATTTTTTTGTTAAAATTTTGTTTGTCGACAATTTAGGATTTTTACCGGATTTAAGGGGAAAAAATGCATTTTTACCGGCATTTTCAAAATGTTCGATAAAATCTCATATTTCACATGCATTTATATTAGAATTTTTGAAAAATAGGGTAACCAACATATATTTTTACCGGCATTTTCGAAATGTCTGGTAAAAATGCATACATGCGTACCTGACATTTAAAAAATGTCGGTAAAAATGCATGTTGATTGTTGCATTTTTCAAAAATGTCAGAAAAACTATGTTAATTTTTCTGCTCAGGGCACTTCGCCAGGCGAATCTCGGCGAACATGACAGTCCCGAAATTCTATTTTCGACCGTTACCTGACTTCCGAGTGT